AGCCAGACCCCGCACTTACGGCGAAAAGCAGCGTGAATGCTCTTGCCGATAGTACTTGAAATGAGAATGCCCCTGTAGCTGGCGCACTCTGCAAGATCGCCTTTTTGCTTATAAATCTGACGCACAGTGCCGCCCTTGAACTGAATCGGCTCTTGTAGGCGAAAGGCGATTTTGAGAAGGATCGGATAGATCGCGTCAGAAAGCTGACTGGCGCAGAAGTGCAGGACATCCGGGGGCATCCCGTCATTGCCGGCAGCACGGCCTGGTTTCGACAACCGCAAGGCCCTCTCAAGCTCATATCTGGTGGGGAGATCACCTCGGCAGACATCCAGCATATCAAGATCCTGCCCCAGTTGCCTATCAACGCACCTGTCGACGAGCGCCTCAGGGGAAACAGGCCCACCTTGTTCGACAGAGCTGAAGTGCCTGAGCCATCTGGCCTCAGCCTCAGCGGGAGTGGATGCAAGTGAACCATCCTCCAGGCGGAGAGCGGGGAGGGGAGTAACACCCCTCTGTTTACGCCGAGGGGGCCCAAGGAGGGGCCTCAGTCTTTGAACAACCTCTCGTGTAGAGGATGTAGCTGCGGCAGCAGCGACTGTAGAGATGTGACTCTGTTTATCGCTGTGCAAAGAACGCCGGAAGAAAGGCCGTATCCTGCGAAGTTCAGCAACAGCGCTGTGGAGGGTGCAAATATTGCGCAAGGTATCAGCAAGCCCTGCTATGCCAGCCCTGCTAAGAGTACATCTCCATAGTAGGGCATTGAAGGCACGCCGAAGATCCCAGGAATTGAGATCACCACTGGCAAGATGCGCCCTGCGTCGCAGCCACACTCTTTGTTGTCTAAGAGCCCATGTTGTCTCAGAAAAGAACGTTCGGCGTCTGTGTGAACGCTGAACTGGGAATTTCTTGGCAAGGGAGCTGAGCACATGCTTGGCAACGATGTGGTAGTGTTCATGAACTCCAACAGACCAAGAAACCTGAGGGATGCTGGCACAGATAGCCCTAACCTCAGCAAGTGATTCAGGCTGGGATGCCTTGGCAACATCAAAAGTACGCCGTGGCGGCGTAAAGGTCAAGCGTTCAAGTAACTCAACCTGGACAAGCAGCTGCACAGCGAAATGGTCAAGCCCAGCTTGGCCAAAGTCGATGTCATACAGGACCCGTGAGGCACCGAAGACAACATGCCAAGCAGAAGGTATAAGTACAAAGTCGATGCGTGAGACGGAAGATCCGCCTGGCGCAGTCCAAGTATGACTATGTCCGCTATGGCACTCAATGAATGTCGACGGCACCCAAAGATCAAGGTGGTCAATGAGCCGAAAGAACTGCCCCGGTGGAGCATGCTCAGCTTCCCAGACAAGACTACCTATGCGTGGTGGCGCTGCCTCGCACAATCTGGCATTCAGATCGCCTAGGAGGATGACCTTATCTCCATTGGCAGTAGAAGTGACGAGGTCAGTGAAAGCTTTCCACCAAGACGCCCGCTCCTGATGTTGTGCAGTAGGGGCATGGCAAGTTACGAAAAGAAGTCGCAGGGTGCCTCGTGTAAAACGCACAATGAGGACGCGCGGGCTCCAATGGAGGACCCTGAAATCGCCAACCTCAAATTTTACGGGAGTACGATCCTGCCAACCAAAAGGGTGGGTCTTAGAGAACCATAGTTCGACACCTAAGCAGCCCTTAGAATCCCGTGAGGAAAGAAAACGAATGTGGCTGCCGGATACTATGGTGGCAGTAGCCTTGGCTCTCGTCTCCTGTAAGCCAGCAACAGTACATCCAAGACTGTCAAGCTGTTCTCGGATAAAAGGAACGCGGTTGGGTAAGGCTGAAGCCTCATCCTCACACAGTGATTGAACATTGACTGAAACAAGCGAAAGGCAGAGAGAGAGGGTCGCATGATTCTGTTCATGGTCGGTGCTGGAGCCAAGCTGGCAACCAAAGTAGTCAGAGGCTAGGAGGGCCTCTTTATCGACAGGGCATTGGCCACAAGGATCTGTAAAGGCGCGACCACATAGCGTGGGCCACCTATTCGGAGTGCAAAGTGCAGAGATGGAAAGCCAAAGCCACGGGAGGTTTCCCTGCTCAGCCCACTCACAAAGCGGAGAGAGATGCATGGCAATAGTCGTGTCGTCAAGGTGCTGTGCCCCAGCCAAAACATCGACAAGCTCATTGTACGGGTGCCCCTGATGTCCTTTAACATGGCAGATGGCATCGACAACTAGGCCGCCCGCAGCTTCAAGGGCTTGTGCAAGTGAGCGGCAAGCAACGGCGAAAGCAGCGTGATCCTGTGAACCCCAGTCTCCACTGGTCTGCCGTGCCGCAACAAGGCAATCGCTATGCAACGAACGCGAAATGGATCTGTCAACTCCAAAAAGCCAGCCTACCGCCCAGAAAAGGGCACTGCGTTCTCCGTTAAGGGCAGAATGTTCGGTGGCACCGACGTGCCAAGGAAGTCCTGGAAGCTGAACAGAGCCACGAGCCCAAGCGAACACAAAACGACCAGCACGGGACTGGGCTATGGCGGCGAAGGCCCAAGAACTGGTACGACCGTCGAAGGAACCGTCAGTGAAGACCTCAATAGACTCAATCCCGGCTGCGAGGCCTGTGGCATAAGCAACATGTTCCTGGAGGGCCCTCCTAGTAGCAGGATGCCAGGCTACAGTGGATGGCAGCTCATGTGGTGGCTGCCAAGAACCTCCTAACAATGCAGCAACCTGGCTGCTGGAGAAGGGGGCCTCAAGCGAAACCTGAGAGACATCATGCGACACGTGGGTGGGCAGAGAGGCTGCTAGGCTGAGTACACTCCTGGTCTCACCACCACTATCCCCAACAATGGGCAACTCAACCTCAAAATGTTCGAACAAGGTTTCAAGCCAAGTCGCGGCTAGAAACATGGCCTGAGAGTCGGGTCTTGCAATGCTCTGCTCAAGCAGGGTAACGAGCTCAAAGGAAGAGCAATCGTGAGTATGTCCATAACATGATAGACGGCAAGCACTGCCATTAGCCCTGAAGGGCGTGGCAACTGGACGTCCTGAGACTGCAGGATACGGAATTGACAATTCAAGAGGGCCCTTAGTCTCATGATGCCGGATCCCAGTGTTCACAATGTAGGAGGTGGCATCAACGATTGGACACTGCTCAGAGCAAAGAACAATAAGCAGTGGTAGACCCCTGCGACCAAAGAGTAGCCCAAGGAGAAGGCTCCCAGCACATCCAGCAGTGACAACGAGGTGAACAACAAACAAGATGCCAATGACTCGCAAGGTAAGACCACTTCCATAGTCTGAACACCGGTGGGCACAGCCGTCACCACGGTCCTTCGAGTGCGTGTGGCCAGTGTGTCCATGTGCATTGAAGTAGCCAGAACCGCTAGTGCCACCAGGGGCAGCACGTTCTCGCTGAGTGCTGCCGGTACCAGCATCGGCTCGGGAAGAAGAAGAGCTGGCGGCATCAGTGGCAGACGGAGAATAAAAGCTAGACTCGGTGCCGGGGTGGAATACAAATGAATCTGGTGCGAGAGAACTAGCAGTCTCCCTAACAAAGTCAGGCTGGAACTCGGCGGTAACAGTGTCCCCTGGTCCAACCTTACGAAAGTGATTCCCTTGATCATGGTGGAAGGACCCGCCAAAGACTCTTACGTGAAAGCCAGGAGGACATCTAAGGGACAACCGTCGGCAAAGGTTAACAACGTTAACCCAACCATCATCGGCAAACTGGAAACCAACCTGAAGAAGGATTGGTCGCAAGTCGAGGACATAGGGAATGCGGCGACTATTCCGTCCTACAGCAAAGTCACTAGTCCGGCAGGCAACCTGAACACTATCGGACAAGACACCTTTGATGGCATGGTCATTGAGACCTGGTGATGCCGGCACAAGAGTGAACTGCCCAGGCTGCAGGCCGATAGCATCAGCCGATTGCTGGCTGTTGGAAGCAAAACTGTCGGTCTCGACAGCGACAGCAAGACGAGGACCATCTGTGAGGATCCACGTAGTGCCGCCAGAAGCACCCGGAAGCTGGAAAGACGGATCCCATGCGTGGTGTCTCTCAAGGAGCAAACGAAGATCGACAGGGGCCCTGCCTCCATCGTCGGCTGTGCAAATGTCAAGTACATCTCCCTCAGCGGGATAGAGATATACACTTGCTGGGACTGGCCAGGGTACATCCCGAATCCTAACCTGAAAGGTAGGATCATCAGGAATTCCTGCAAGTGCAAATACGTCGGCTCGACAGATCCGATGCGGCACAATAGTGCAGAAGAAGCTGGGCCGGAACGCACGACACGTAATAAGCACTGCAACGC